GGGGGGTGGACATAAGAAGCTGTTGTTACCACCAATTATTTCCTCTGGTGTTTCTCTTTAGCTGCCTGCTGGGTTTGTGTGGTTAAGTTCATACTGCAGACATAAACACTCCCAAGCCAGCTAGGTACACACAGACACACTCACACTCTGCAGCTTCATGTCCAAACAGCCTGACTGACCCACAGCAAGAACGCACAACCAGTCCCGCATGGGCAGCTGCTTTCCCAGCTTAAACGCTGCACCAGACACACAAATGTATGCACATATACAGATACAAATACACAGTTGCACAACGAATCAAAATGCACTAAAGAGTACTCTTGTTTACAGACAAACACACAAAAAAATATAGTAAGTGGTTCTATCAGTTTCTTGTTATCTCTGTGTTGATATAATGACTTATATTTGGCTCTTGCAAAGTTATTCACCTGCCAGGGCAGCTGCAGCTCACAGACCAGCTCCAGTCAGCGTGTTTATCCACATTGCAGTCCAGACATCCAAGACGGCTGGGCAAAAAGACAAATATTATGCAACTGTAAAGGGAAGCTTCACTCACTTTGTGGATTTCTATTATAGTGGTCAGTGTGATTTATAATAACTTGTGAAAAGTGCCAGACAAAACCACAAATCCCAGAGAAGCTTCAGCTACGCTTACATCCAGCCTGATAGTGAAGGAAAACATGACATGGTTTGAAATAAGCTTAATACAAACTGTACTGTCAGGCTTGAACAACAAACCCTCTTTCTCTGTTAAATTCAGCGCTCTCCTCGCCATTTTTTAACTTTTTCTCGGTCAATTCTCCACTAAGAATAGTTCATGCTATATGAGATCATGTGTTTGAGTTTTAGTTCTTTTTTTTAACGCATAGGCAAATTATAGAGACTCTCTCTCTCATAACCATTAAAAAACTCTTAGAGTACTGTGGAGTCACACACAAAAAACTATTTCCCTCATATAGGATCCAAGATAACCATGTGACAAGACCACTGCTGGGACAACACATTAAAAGGATGACTAACGTGCATAGCAGCAACTTTACCATGAACAGGTGTACTGTAATGTTTTGTTTTGGCACGTTCACCGCAGAACTGCGATGGAAAACAAGTACATCGAGACAGTGCAGATAGTTACTGGACGGCAGCAACTTTTTAGAAACAGCGTGTGCCCTCCCCAGTTTCTTTATAAGGTCAGCTCGGTGGACCTGTCTGCCGAGACTGGAGAGTGAGATCAGAGGTTATCACAGTCCTCCTATGCTGTTCCTCTCAAACAGTCTGTAGCTGCCCAACAGCTCTGTGTTGGCTTAATGAAGCACTTTTAATTAATCTAAATGCATTAAGTCACTGGTGGGATTTCTTTTTAGAACTTAATTCCTTAAGTGCAGTTACAGTAGCATTTTGCACAAAATGATGCTTTGCTGTAGTTCCAGCCTGAAGTATGCAGTGAAAAATGTACTCCTTAAGTTTATAGTTTTAAGAAAAAAAAAATATTTGAAAATTCTGAACAAGAGGTGAAAATTGCTCCCAACGAAAGGCAAATTAGTTTGTACTGCTGCGTCACTTGGAACAAGATGTTGCTTTTTAGGTTTTCGACGAATGGTCAGCAGAAGGAGGGAATCGCGCAAAACCAGGAAGAGACCAAGAAAACGTCTTCTGGTTTCCTCAAAGAAGTTCCAGTAAAGCATCAGCAGGCCAGGATGGGGGTAACAGTTTGGGGTAAACAAAAAACTGTAAAGTTCATGAAGTGTAACCTCTTTATTTGGTTTATATAAAAACTTGTTTATATCCTAGATGGATAATGCAACACAAATAATTAAGTAGACGGCTGCTCTTTCCACAGTATAGTTTACATGACCGGTACACTGACGGCCCACGCAGCTCATTATTTTTAATTAGCCCCACTTATTTAGACAAAAGCACAGTGTGCGAGCCCTTTCATTCATTTCACTGCGACGACTGCATTGACACAATGGGTTTGCTGATGCAGTGGACTCAAGGGGAGAAAAAAAAAATCAGTCTAGCCAAGGCACCAGACAAAATTTTCCACTGGTACCACTGGTCCTACAAACTTTCTCAGTTGAGCACACCATCTCTTTTGAGCGCAGTAAAATAAAAAGAACAAGTGACTATCAAGGAAACCATTAGCATATATTATGATTAGAACATGTTTCAGAGTAGTATCTTGCTTTAAGTTTAAAATCTATTTTTTATGAGAAATTATTATAAGAAACAGAAAAAGAGACTCAACACTTTGTGGTTTTGTAGGGAGTGAAGTAGAGAGGAACTCAAAATTTTGGTTGACGCATTAAATGATGATGCATTGAAGCTTAAAAGTTTAAACTATGTTTTTATGACAAGGAGTTTAGCAATAGCAGCTCCCTCTTACTGTAATTACAGGTACTACAATAGGTGTTGTGGTTGAAAACATAGACTGTACATAAAATATCAACGACAACGACAACAACATCAGCTTTATATGCAGAGTTAAGTCAATGCAGAAGTGCCTTAAACCTGCATTCTTATTAACAGCCAGAAGGGGGCGACTCCTCTGGTTGCAAAAAGGCTTGTGCAGAAGTTTAAAGGAAAATTGCCCTTGGATGCCTCGCTGTATGACTTTAGTAGTTTTAATTCACATTTAATACAATGCAATGTTCACCTGCTAAATTAAGGTCATACTTAAAAGGATGACACAGCATAGCATGCTTTAGGGCTACCTTGACAACTTGCTAGTATATGAGAGCCCGTCTAAATAACTGCATACTTTAAGTATAAATTGTGTCAGAGTTCATCCTAAACACTGACAACCTTTTATGAAAAAAAGAAACAAACAAACTCATACTCTCACAAATACATCTGCACAAAATGAAGAATTTAACACGTGACTAAAATCAGAGCGCTCTAAGACAGAATGAACAAGTGTTTCTGATGCCGGTGGCGCGCTCGAGGATAGCCATTTGTTACCTGTAGCAGGCTTTAGTAACAAACACTCACACCCCTGAACCTGGTGATCTCTCCATATTCCTCATGTAGGTCCTGTCCTACATCTATTACACCGTGGCTATTGTACAGCCCCTTCCCCTATGTGCACACACAGACGTATTAATACACAAAACACACACACACACACACACACACATACACAGAGTGCGACTGGGGGCTATCGTTCTCCATTATGAAAACTAGGTCGGGGAGGAGTGGGCGAGTAGAGTGGGGCAGTAATTATTTTTATCATTATTAATTTCCACCTCAAGCTTGCGCCGGGGCTTTTTTGTCTGCTTCAATCTTCATTTCAGCCCCCAACATCCACACATGCACACACCACCATCACTACCAGTGCCTTTGAAAAGGCTACGTGCCAAACAAGGCAGAACAGAGCATGGGGGCACAAAAGAGGAAAAAAGCTCAAAGGGATAGAAAGAGTTTGACAGAGAGCGAGAGGGGCGACAGGGGAAGCCGGAGGGGTCGGACGTGTCGCCTCATCACTCACCGGACCCTAATTTACACTAACAGGTTGTTTACTTGATATGGCGAATGATAATAAAAGCCTGGGTGTTGGATGAGGGGAGAAGGCAAGGAAAGAGGAAAATTGAAAGCGAGGCCCTGCGGGAACACTTCGGCGCTGTGATGGCTTGCACACTCCAATTAGTCCCATGAAAAGCTTCTCTCCCTAGAAAGGAGTTAAAGAAGGGGTGAGTTGCTCATTGCGTAAATAAAAACAGCCATATTCACCCCAAAACTCTCTTGCTGGGCCACTGCACAAGGAACAACTTCACTGGTTGTTGGGACTCAGCCGTGGCCACGTGCAATGAAAACACCGTTTTCATGTTTGTTTTGTTAATGACACCAAATTTGTTATTTGTACTGTACGTATTACACGTAGGTTCAGCAACCACAAAAAAAAATTAAATAAAAAACAACCAAAAAAACGCTGCTGA